CTGAAAGAGGAGAAAGAAAGAAGTCTAGAAGATATAGTGGAACAAGTTCTTCATGAAAATTTTCCCAATCTCGCGAATGGAACCAGTGTTCATGTACTAGAGGCCGAACAATCTCCACCAAAGATTATAGATTCCAAAAAAAATCAAGGCACCTCGTAGTCAAATTGAGGAATCATAATTGTAGATACAATCTCTTGAAAGCTGCTAGGGCAAAGAGGCTCCTTACTTACAGAGGAAAGCCCATCAGAATAACATCAGACCTGTCCACAGAGACCTGGCAAGCCAGAAAGGGCTGGCAAGATATATTCAGGGCACTAAATGAGAAGAACATGCAGCCAAGAATACTTTATCCAGCAAGACTGACATTCAAAATGGATGGAGAGATAAAGAGTTTCCAAGACCGGCAAGGCTTAAAAGACTATGCAACCACCAAGCTGACACTGCAGAAAATATTAAGGGGGATTCTATAAAAGAGGAAAAATCCTAAGAGAAGCATTGAACAGAAATATAGAGACAATCTACAGAAAGAAAGACTTCAAAGGTAACACGATGTCAATAAAAACGTATCTATCAATAATCACTCTCAATGTGAATGGCCTAAATGCACCCATAAAACGGCACAGGGTTGCAGATTGGATAAAATGACAGGACCCATCCATATATTGTCTACAAGAGACCCTTTTGAACCTAAAGATACACCCAGACTGAAAGTGAAGGGATGGAGAAGCATCTTTCATGTCAATGGGCCCAAAAGAAGGCCGGGGTAGCGATTCTTGGATCAGACAAATTAGATTTTAAACTAAAGACTGTAGTCAGAGATACAGAAGGACACTACATAATTCTTTCTTTTTTTTTTTTTTAGGACACTACATAATTCTTAAAGGGACTATCCACCAAGATGATCTAACAATTGTAAATATCTATGCCCCCAATATGGAAGCAGCCAATTACATAAGAAAACTGTTAATCAAGATAAAGAGTCATATTTATATGAATACATTAATAGTAGGAGATCTTAACATGCCTCTCTCAGAAATAGATCATTGAAGCAGAAAATCAATAAATAAACAAGAGCATTGAATGACACATTGGACCAGATGGACCTCATAGATATATACAGAACATTCCACCCTAAAACAACAGAATACTCATTCTTTTCAAGTGCACATGGAACCTTCTCCAGAATAGACCATGTACTCGGTCACAAATCAGGAATCAACTGATACCAAAAGACTGAGATTATTCCCTGCATATTCTCAGATCACAGTGCTTTGAAACTGGAGCTCAATCACAAGGAAAAGTTCAGAAGGAACTCAAACACCTGGAAGCTAAAGACCGCCTTGCTTAAGAATGCTTGGATCAACCAGGAGATCAAAGAAGAACTGAAACAATTCATGGAAACCAATGAGAATGAAGATACTTCGGTCCAAAACCTATGGGATACAGCAAAGGCCGTCCTAAGGGGGAAATACATAGCCATCCAAGCCTCCCTCAAAAAAATTGAAAAAAACAGAATACACCAGCTGTCTCTACATCTTAAAGAACTTGAGAATCAACCACAAATCAAACCAACTCCACACATAAGAAGGGAAATAATCAAGATTAGAGCTGAGATCAATGAGGTAGACACCAGAGATACAATAGAATGTATCAATGAAACTAGAAGTTGGTTTTTTGAAAGAATCAATGATATTGATAAACCATTGGCCACACTAATCCAAAAGAAAAGAGAGAAAGCCCAAATTAATAAAATTATGAATGAGAAGGGAGAGATCACAACTAACACCAAGGAAGTAGAAACAATCATCAGAAGTTATTATCAACAGTTATATGCCAATAAGCTAAGCAACCTAGATGAAATGGATGCATTCCTGGAAAGCTGTAAACTCCCAAAATTGAACCAGGAAGAAATGGACAACCTGGATAGACTGATATCTACTAATGAGATTGAAGCAGTGATCAAAAACCTCCCAAAAAACAAGAGCCCAGGACCTGATGGATTCCCTGGGGAATTCTACCAAACTTTCAAAGAAGAAATAACACCTATTCTCCTGAAGCTGTTTCAAAAAATTGAAGCAGAAGGAAAATTTCCAGACTCTTTCTATGAAGCCAGCATTACTCTGATCCCCAAACCAGGCAAAGACCCTACCACAAAGGAGAATTTCAGACCAATATCACTGATGAATATGGATGCTAAGATTCTCAACAAGATCCTAGCAAACAGGATCCAACAGCACATTAAAAAGATTATCCACCATGACCAGGTGGGATTCATCCCTGGGCTACAAGGATGGTTCAACATTCACAAATCAATCAATGTGATAGAACAAATTAATAAGAGAAGAGAGAAGAACCACATGGTCCTTTCAATTGATGTAGAAAAATCATTTGACAAAATCCAGCATCCGTTCCTGATTAAAACGCTTCAAAGTATAGGGATAGAGGGAACATTCCTGAACTGCATAAAATCTATCTATGAAAGACCCACAGCAAATATCATCCTCAATGGGAAAAAGCTTGCAGCCTCCCTGTTGAGATCAGGAACACAACAAGGATGCCCACTCTCTCCACTCTTGTTCAACATAGTATTCGAAGTCCTAGCAACAGCAATCAGACAACAAAGAGAAATAAAAGGTATCCAAATTGGCAATGAAGAAGTCGAACTCTCTCTCTTCGCAGATGACATGATTCTTTATATGGAAAACCCAAAAGACTCCACCCCCAAACTACTAGAACTCATACAACAATTCAGCAACATGGCAGGATACAAAGTCAATGTACAGAAATCAGTGGCTTTCTTATACACTAACAATGAAAACACAGAAAGGGAAATTAGAGAATCGATTCCATTTACTATAGCACCAAGAACCATAAGATACCTGGGAATAAACCTAACTAAAGAGGTAAAGGAACTGTGCTCGAGGAATTACAGAACACTCATGAAAGAAATTGAAGAAGACACAAAAAGATGAATCTTGGATCGGAAGAATAAACATTGTTAAAATGTCTATACTGCCTAGAGCAATCTATACTTTTAATGCCATTCCGATCAAAATTCCACCAGTATTTTTCAAAGAGCTGGAGCAAATAATCCAAAAATTTGTATGGAATCAGAAGAGACCCCGAATCGCTAAGGAAATGTTGAAAAACAAAAATAAAACTGGGGGCATCACGTTACCTGATTTCAAGCTTTACTACAAAGCCGTGATCACCAAGACAGCATGGTACTGGCATAAAAACAGACACATAGACCAGTGGAACAGACTAGAGAGCCCAGATATGGACCCTCAACTCTATGGTCAAATAATCTTTGACAAAACAGGAAAAAATATACAGTGGAAAAGAGACAGTCTCTTCAATAAATGGTGCTGGGAAAACTGGACAGCTATATGCAGAAGAATGAAACTCGACCATTCTCTTACACCGTACACAAAGATAAACTCAAAATGCATAAATGATCTCAACGTGAGACAGGAATCCATCAGAATCCTAGAGGAGAACATAGGCAGTAACCTCTTTGATATCAGCCACAGCAACTTCTTTCAAGCTATGTCTCCAAAGGCAAAGGAAACAAAAGTGAAGATGAACTTTTGGGACTTCATCAAGATCAAAAGCTTCTGCACAGCGAAGGAAACAGTCAACAAAACAAAGAGGCAACCCACGGAATGGGAGAAGATATTTGCAAATGACAGTACAGACAAAAGGTTGATATCCAGGATCTATAAAGAACTCCTGAAACTCAACACACACAAAACAGACAATCATATCAAAAAATGGGCAGAAGATATGAACAGACACTTCTCCAATGAAGACATACAAATGGCTAACAGGCACATGAAAAAATGTTCATCATCACTAGCCATCAGGGAGATTCAAAATAAAACCATATTGAGATACCACCTTACACCAGTTAGAATGGCCAAAATTAGCAAGACAGGAAACAACATGTGTTGGAGAGGATGTGGAGAAAGGGGAACCCTCTTACACTGTTGGTGGGAATGCAAGTTGGTGCAGGCACTTTTGAAAACAGTGTGGAGATTCCTCAAGAAATTAAAAATAGAGCTTCCCTATGACCCTGCAATTGCACTCCTGGGTATTTACCCCAAAGATACAGATGTAGTGAAAAGAAGGGCCATCTGTACCCCAATGTTTATAGCAGCAATGGCCACGGTCGCCAAACTGTGGAAAGAACCAAGATGCCCTTCAACGGACAAATGGATAAGGAAAATGTGGTCCATATACACTATGGAGTATTATGCCTCCATCAGAAAGGATGAATACCCAACTTTTGTAGCAACATGGACGGGACTGGAAGAGATTATGCTGAGTGAAATAAGACAAGCAGAGAGAGTCAATTATCATATGGTTTCACTTATTTGTGGAGCATAACAAATAGCATGGAGGACGTGGGGGAGATGGAGAGGAGAAGGGAGTTGAGGGAAACTGGAAGGGGAGGTGAACCATGAGAGACTATGGACTCTGAAAAACAATCTGAGGGTTTTGAAGGGGCGGGATGTGGGAGGTTGGGGGAACCAGGTGGTGGGTATTAGAGAGGGCACGAATTGCATGGAGCACTGGGTGTGGTGCAAAAACAATGAATACTGTTAAGCTTGAAAGAAATTAAAAAAAAAGAAAAAGAAAAAAGAAAATAGTCAACCAAGAAGCCAAACACGCTCACCTGAGTAAATTCTTCATCCAATTTGGGCAAAACTTTTTTAAAATTTAAATTTTATTTTTTCAGTGTTCCAAGATTCATTGTTCATGCATAACACCCAGTGCTCCATGCCATACGTGCCCTCCAAAGCTTTTTGAATGCATACAACATAGTGGATCAGCCCCTGCATTCCAGATGCCCACCATCATCACGAGAGACCCACAAGCATGAACCAACCCCCATTTGAGGCAGAATGAAACAAGCGCTTTGAGAATAGAGAAGAGATAAGTAATTCTCACAGACACAGAAAATCAGAGTCAACTTCTTTCATCCCGCATCCTTTATTGTTTGGTCACTATTATGTTTGCACTCATGTGCCTCCTAACAGCAGGGGTGTGGCAAAGGGAAGTTCAGGTGTTAGTCCTCCATTTGCACGTGTAATCCCCAGTCCTCCATAAATTTCAGGAGATAGGCTTTGTTTTCTTTTGATGACTCTTCTGGAGCCTGATCCTCATAGAGTCTACACAAGAGGCTTTCTTCTGTGAGCTCCTTGTACTTAGGCAGCTCACATCCCTCAGAGTCATGTTCAGAGGCAGAGAAGGACGGTATGCACAGCCTGCCAGTCTGAGGGTCCCAGTCCACCAGTGTGGTGGATGCCTCTTCACCTGGCTCCTCTTCCGCATCCACGTGCTTTGGCAACAGCTGGCCCAAGTCTTGCAGCTGAGGGGCATAGGAATACAGTGGTGTTGGGGAGCCCAGGTCTGCCAAAGCTGCCTGTTGCTCCAAGAATTGTCCTTGGAGGGATGCCTCTTCCTGCAGTCTGAGCTCTTGATCTCCAGGCCCCACATAGATGTCAACAGTTCTTACAGACTCTTCGTATCCAACGGCAGCTTTATCTGTGGCCATTGTTCCACCCAGTGACCCTTGCTGGGTTAGGGACATACCCTTGGAGCTTTCCTCAGAGTCACAGAAAATATCCATCCAATGTAAAGCATACCCTGAGTTCTTCACCTCCATTTCCTCCTGATGTGGCTCCTGGTCCTCAAGGGGCTCATTCGGGTCCCATACATCGTTGCTTTTTCCCCTTACACTTACATCCTTATGAGAAGTGTTAGAATCCTCCACAATATTGAGGGTGATAAAATTAAGCACAATTTTTTCAGCAGGGACAAAGAATCTTTTGTCAAATTCATTTCCATAAATCCAAATCTATAAAGAGAGAAGAGAATGGTTTTCACCTTTTCACTTGAAAGAGACATGAAAAACAGCTCTTAAGTAGAACTTATACTGTCATCACATAGTTCTAAAAACCTATTCTTACCAACTCATGGAAGTGACAGTTATTCTTGGAATAAACAGAAAGCCTCATTCCCATGGAGGCAAGAGACCTGAGACACGCACACACAAAGGCTTATGGAAGTGAACAGTGGTCCTTGGGGGGCGGGTGGGGGTATCCCATCCAAGGATCAAGGTAGAAAGCCCCCTCCCCTAACTGGCCCAGGGAATTCAGGGCACTTATTTAATTTCTTGAGCCTCAGTTTTAAATTGTGTAAAATCAGAATTTCTGCCACGTGAGAAGTGGCAAGGGCTAAGGGAGAGAGTTTGGAAATCGCTTTGTTAGTTACTGTTGACCATGTATTTGTCAACTAGCAGTGGTTTCCTGGACTCCCAGGCCTGGCTGGGATGCACCCTGGACATGAAATGTGGATGGGCATGCAAACTGGATGCAAAGAGGGAAGGAGGCTCATGAGTAGGGATGGTTTCCCTCACTTCCCCCATAGCTATCCCACTGTAATGGGGCCAAAAAGGGAAATCCATCTGCCTGTTTATGGCTGATAGAGAAACTCTAAATCATGTCAGGAAAACTGGCTTGAGATTAAAATGGTGCTGAGGATATGTGGAAGGTGTCTTTTGTGATGCCCAGTCATGACTTAAGTTTGAATCCTCATTGTCCGCCCCGTGAAATGAGTTCATTTAACATTAACATTCCTCAGCCTCATTCTTTTATAACATTTCAGTTTCAGAAAGTCACATATGCTTAATTCTCCTGTGAATGTTTCTCCCAGGAATGTCTCCCTCTGCCATTAGGAACCTACCTCTAATGTCTAAAAGCAGGCAGAATAAGAGAAACATTCAAAACCGAACTAACAGGAATACCTTATGCATCATCATATATATTTGAATATATATTTTAATACTTTGCAAATAAATCACTCTTATTGTTAAAATATGCCCAGCCCTTCTAAACCCTCCAGAAGCGTATTTATTCTTTCTTAATATTTTCTTGCTCTCCTTGCTCTGAATGCTTGTCCTGGCCATTTTCCTCCTAAATGTACTCCCCATTCCATGCCAGTCTCAAGCTCTACATCCCATTCTCCTCTTTCAGACGCTCCCTTTCTTGCCCTGGACAACTGGCACAGTCTTCTAGCTCCTTTTATTGCTTCTAGTCTTAATCCCTCCAGAAGTGTACTAGACCCACTGTCTAACTGGATTTAAACACGATATTGACCTCAACACTGCCTATTCAAAACCCCATAGTGGTTTCTCCTAGCCAAGACAATATAAAGCCCAAACTGCTTAGAATAACACCTGATTCTCCTGTTACCTGGCCCTCATACCCACTCTCTGGTCTTACATCAGTAACTCATCATCAGCAACCTGTGGTCCAGCAATATCATGTGGTTTTCCAAACATCTACGCACGTTGGCCCTTCTGGGTTTTCTGCCAGAAGTATGTGCTCTAACTCTTTCTCCACTTTCCTAATCATGGCTGGATGTAAAACTTCTACTGGTCCCCTACGCATGGTTTCCATGCTCTCCCTGTAACTCTCTGTACATCTACAGTCCTGTCTGCTTTCATCGTAACCTTTAAGTATCATTTTGAAATTCCCATTCCCAACTTAACTTGAACCTCCGGAAGGGCATGGATCTGACTTAAATTTATTTGTGTACCTCGCCACCTAGTCTAATCTGCTCATGACACGTGAAATCTTTGTCAAAGCTGAGGAATCTCTTTGCTACTAGAGACTAGTAGCAAAAGTGTTTTCTTATTCATCATTCTTTAAACCCACGCTGCCTGTAAAAGGGAGCTGTGTCTGCTCTAGAGCTTCCTTTTGTACTGGCCTGGAAGGGAGGGTTTATGATCATTCCTGCCACACTGAGCACTCACCAAATTTGCTGGGTGTTTCTCTTTGCCAACATGGATATATCTGTACATGGAGTAGCCCATCACAGAAAAAAGAAACACAGTAATAGATATGGGCAAAACATACCAGAAGATGATTTTAACCTTCACTGCTGATGTTTGGTCTGTTTAAAAAAAAAAAAAAAAGACAGAAATAGAGCGTTGTGATTCAGTGTGGTGGTAGGAAAACATTGGTAATGTCAGGCGACTTTGGGTTGATTACTTACAATTAGGAGCTCAGTTTTTCATTTATAAATTGAGAAGCTTGAAGGAAAAGTGATAAGGGGGTCTCAGAATTCTTACTCTGTCAAGAGCTGGTCTTCAGGACTCATCTGGACTTGTTGCAAACCTTACAGTGTGGATGCATCACCAACTCAATCAGCAGATATTCCAACATATTTGTCTTGCCGTGAGATTCATGCAGGTTCTTATATTTGAAGCTAAGTGTGTCTATTATTCCAGCAACTTATACACTTTAAACCAAGCAACAGAACCCTCTTGATAAGATCCTATTAAGCTGCCCTCACTTTTCCATACTGTCATTTAACTCAACCATTTCCAAATATTCAGTAGAAGTCAGGAATGTGTGGCGTTACCTTATGTGTGGCTAACAGTACCATCTCTGAGTGGGTTGGCTAGACTTTCTGGGTAGGTCTGGAGCTTGGGATGTGTGTAGGAAGTGGCTGAGCTGGTGTTGCTGAGAATGGCACCGACTCCCCTCCAGGTCCTATTATACTGTGGGTTCATGACAAGTAAAAGTCCATAGAAGAATGAAAAGACTTGGTGAACAGCTTTTAAGAAAGCAGTGCTGGCCCTCCATTCATGAGACTATACAGTTGTGAATAGGACTCATGTGACTGACTTATATTTGTTGGGCTCCTCTAGGATACTGGAAGTTGTAATAGTTAATTATCTGTGTTGATTGGCTAGGGCATGGCACCCAGATATTGGGCAAAACATGATTCTAGATGTTCCTGAAAGGCATTTTTCGATGAGATTATCATTTAAATGAATGGACTTGAGTGGTGGCCTTATCTAATCACTTGATAGCTTTAGTAGAAAAAATGGTGACCACCTTGAGAAAGAGATTTCTGCCAGCAGATAACCTTCAGAAAAGAAGTGTAGCATCAACTCTTCCTCGGAATCCAGCCTGCTGGACTGCCCAACAGATTTTGAGCTCACCAGTCTCCACAGTCATGTGAGGCATCAGCTTAAAATAAATCTTTCTGTCTTTCTCCATATGTAATATGTTGGTTCTGTTCTCTGGAGAACCCTAATACAGCAGTAGAAAAAGAGTTTTAGTGCACATAGCAAAAGTTCTAGTATCTTCCTTACATACTGATGAATTCAGTGAGAGTGTCATGGGAGCTCTTTCATCTGTACAGTTGTTTGGATACTCTTGATGCCTAGGCCTGAGACAAAGCAATGATGTCACTCTCCAGATAGCTATCTAGTGAGAGAGGGGAAACAGAAGTGTCATGGAGCCAGTAAGAGAAGTATAGGTACAGGGCTCCAAGGGCGGCCTCTTCCACCCCAAACCACTCCCAAGGAGCACATCTGTCATCAGGTTCTACAAGGAAATGTGGCAAAGCGCAATGCAGGTGGTGCAGGTGGCCAGCATCACCGACCGCACATGAGGCCACGATGCAGCCTAGTCCTCTGAATGCAGACTCTGGTCTCTGGACTGAACTTGCCCTACTTAAAACAAGCCATGACAACAATGACCAATGACACTCAGTATACAGCAGAATATGTTTGCACAATAAACCTAATAAACTGTAATTGTATTTTAGTACCAGGGGATTATGGAGAGCAGAAGTATTTCTCAAAGATGGTCCCAAAAGAGGTGGTCCAGCTGGGCTATCAAGGAAAAGGTCAGAA